AGATTGGGGCTTCGATTAAGTGAGTGAGTTTAGTTTTACGCCACACTCTGCAATATTCCAGCTATATGACGCCGTCTGTAAATAATCGAGTCTGGACCAGACAACCCAGCGATCAACAGCATGAGCATCGATCTACGCAATTGGGATACGATGACATGTCAGCGAGCCTGACCACCCGATCCTGTTAGTCGCTTCTTACGACAAGTATGGGTTACCGAAGATCAATTCTAAACAGGATTTCACGGGTCTGGGGGCTTCGAACAGCCATATTGCCAGAATCATTGGTGGAAGACACGTCAACCAGACTGGCCAGACATCTGACAGATCCAGAACTGGAGGACCGAGAGTGACCACCCTGCAAGATAACCATCTGCGCTTCCTCCAAATGAGCAGCTGGATGCTGACAGTGACGTCATCAACAGCAAAACCCCATCAAAACCCAGTGATGAGACGGCTGCGTTCTGTGAGTAATTTCGGGGCTTGTCGTGAACATCTATTGAATCTACGTTTACGTTAGCAAGGAACGTTAGGCACGGGCAACGTTGCGTCTAAGGTATTTTGGGAACACATACGCAATGTTTGTGCCTTGTAAGGCCCTTTTAGTTTTTTCAAAATATTCCCAAAGCACCAGTTGAGTACTTTCTTTTGTACGTCAGTTTAGTAAGTTCCTCACTAAAGTAAATGTTATTGTTTCAGTGGGATAAAACAAGGAGTGAGTGAGTAAGTTGGGTTTTACGTCCGCTATTAGCAATATTCCAGCAACATCACGGCAGGGGATGAAAGAAATGAGCTTCACACATTGTACCCGTGTGGGGAATTGAACCCGGGTCTTTGGCTTGACGGGGGTCGGGGGTATTTGGATGCAAAACAAAAATACATATTAGTGTTGTTATATACTCTCCCAAAAAAGAAACGCATATAGGAATTTCAACTGTATTGTTATGTTTATTTTGAAACATCTTGTAGGCTTTATGAGTCAATGAAATATAGCGAAATTGCACACTGGGAATGCAGACATATCCGTCTTTGGCACCAACTCGAGGAAAGTCAGTTTGAGTGTCACATGCAGACGTGTGGTGGCGCTGAAGTCAATACCTCGTGTGACCACCGTGGGCATCACGAACTGCACGGCATCGCCTCGGCATCGAACGAATAAGTCTCAGAATCTCGTGTTGCCCAATCGCAGCCCACTCTGCCTATAGTGCCTGTGCGAGTTGCTGAAGTGTCTAGGGCTGAGGGTTACGGCGTCGCACCCGTCTGTCCAGGGCATCCCACAGATGTTCGATCAGGTTTAAGTCCGGTGATCTTGAGGGCCAGGGGAGCACATTGATGTTGTGGTTCTGGAGGAAGTCTCTAGTGTGACGTGCTGTGTGGGGCCTGGCATTGTCCTGTTGAAACAACTCCCTCTGGCGATCAATGATTGGAAGGAGGTGCGGGCGTAGGATTTCGTCACAGTACCGTTGAGCTGTCAGGTTGCCCTGGATCATCACCAAATCACTTCTCCTACGGCAGGTGATCGCTCCCCACATCATAACACTTTCCCGGTCGAATCTGTCCACCTGTGGAACGCAAGCGTCGGCGAAACGTTCACGTCGACGTCTGTACACCCGCATTCTTCCATCGCGTCGTTCAAAATAGAAATTGTGATTCATCACTGAACCAGATTCTACGCCAATTCGGTAGGTTCTAGGCCTGAACGTTGGTGCACCATTGAAGTCAATATCGACGATGTTGTTGTCGAAGCACAGGGCCAAAATAAGGTCTTCTGGCACGTAAACCAGCCTCTCTCAACCTGTTCCTGACGGTCTGTGCAGAAAGCCTCCTCAATCCGGGTATTTGTCGAGCGGTACTGGTCGCCGTAGCTGTTCGATGACGCAGGTGATGTACCCGGATGTAGCGATCCTGCGCCGCAGTGGTAGCTCGAGGTCGCCCACTACGAGGGGCATCTGCTACCGCATTCTGCCGGCGACATCTCTCCCAGAGCCGTGAAATGGTGCTTTGGTGAACATTCATGCGTCGGGCAACTGCACGTTGAGACTGGCCAGCTTCAAGCAAACCAATGGCGATATGACGGTTGGCTTCACTTAGACGTGGCATTTTGCGTTCGTCAACAATATTCCAAATACAGTGAATAATCGACAGACAGCGATCAACCTTTTATACCCATCATTGAGACTATCTGATTCCCAACATTCACGTGCATTGCATGTGAATTGTGTATTCTGTGACACTACACGCCGAAATTGAAAATCATGCTGTTAAATACGGGTATTTTACGGATGGTGCGTTTTGTTGTGATGTTTCAAAACATAAACACCATAGGACTCATAAACAGAGCAAAACCTTTTGTAAAATGAATCACGTTTTATTTCATTGCTACATGAAATTTCTATTTTCATGATGCGTTTCTTTTTTGGAAGAGTATATATTTACATTAACATCCCGTATCGTCGAAGATCAGTTAATTTATATACAATACGCGCGTTTTCATTCAGTTCAGTCGATCTTTTGTTCAACTTGAACGTTGACGTGCAGACAATTGCCATGGCTGTCAGTTGTCACTGTCGTCCCCGAGACTGTCAACGATGCATCCAGCAACAACACACGATATTAAACAAGGAAAATGTTCAAATATTCAACAGCATCCACGTTCAGGTCGCGCTTAGCCAGTATGTGTTGGACTATTCACATTTATAAATAAAATATCAGTTAAAAGACATGTACAGACCAATGCCACTCTTGAATTGCTGTTTGTGATTTGAGAATGACGAAGCATTGAGCCTGAAACAGGCTTTGTTAAACTTCAACACGCGTTGGTGCACATGCTTTACAACGCCGTGTGTCCCACTGGCGGCATCGAGCTGGGTGTGACAAAAGCAACAAACTTGATATTTAATTGATGAGCTTGTGTTGTGGGGAATAGTCTGTCTTCGGGAACATCATGCATTTTATGTTCTTCTCCAGAACTGTGTGATAGATTGAACCGGAAGAAGTTGCAGTCTTGGTCGTATAAACAGTTGAATCACATGTCTGTTCATGGCAGCAACATGGAGTTAGTGAGTGAGTTATTATTTAACGTCACATCGGCAATATTTCAGCCATATCGTGAATTCAACATCCGACATGTTTCAACAAACAACATTTCAATACACACAATAATAATATATACTAACGGCCCAAAGAAACTTTACAGATATAAAAATTAAATAATTGGAATGAAAAGTAGTTTTAGCTCTGTACTCTCTCCTCTCCGGCAGTACAAACGTTGTCTTCCATCAGTCCTGAACAAGGCGAGACTGCTCTCGTCCCTCTACCAATCACGTCGCTGCCAACGACGTACAGCTCGGACCCATGTCAGTCTCCGACGACGATGTCCAGCGGTCAATAATTGTCCTCGTGGTGGTCGGTATGCTCTAATACCATGAGCCCGGAGTCACCTGCTGACAGTCTGTCATATGACTCGATGACCTAAGGCATTCGTCGCTGATGACGTGACTGAGGAATCGATTTCGGGGCGTAAGGTGCGCAGATACCGGTCTTCGTTAGGGGTAGTAACTCTGGGTCTTCCTGATCTTGGTCTGTCTGAGGTCTGCCCAGTCTGTTGGAAACTTTGCATCGAGTTGGTTATGTACAGCAACACGTGAGCAGCCGAAGATTCTTGCAACCTGGGCGTGGGTGGCCCCGATCTGGACCATTCCGATGGCTCGTTCTCGCTCTGCAGCTGTAAGGCGTGGCATTTCTTTGTGTGTTTCTGTTGCAGTGAATGATGGGCAAGCCTTCAAACCCATTTTATACCCACCATGCCCGTTCAGTTTCATACTGAACGAGTCACGTGATTATAATCTTTTCGCATTTTCACATCTTTACATGTAAAGCATGTGCTTCGACACATCAGTGGTTAACGTACCAAACATATCACATTCGAACCAAACAAGCCAAATCCAAGACACAAATCAAAGTCATTTCAAATAGACGTGGAACTTTTACTCCACTTTAATAACATACCATTTTAAAACAAAATAAAACGACACAAACCAACGACATTATATGATATAAAACCACTTCTGTTTGTCCTATTTGCCTCATCACGAATGTTAAAGCTTTTCGGATTACAGAAAATCGAACTGTAACTGTGTACGAATAAACATAACCCTCGTCAGTGTTTGCTTTTTCAGCGCCTATGTTTAACTGTTGTGAAAGTGAATAAGTGAGTTTAGTTTTTCGTGTGTAAACCTACGAATAGCCCAATGCAAATTATATCTTATTTAATTAATTATACAAAACAAAGCTACGATGGGTGGCTGAAAAGTCTTGAGCCTTACTATGATGGAGTGCCTTCATGTAGTTAGAGAGGGGGGGGGACTTGCATGCATCTAGTCTGTTTTGGGGAAAATGATATAACGAGTTCCATCTCGAGTTTCATTTATAATAAAATCAACATATAATTTAAAATATACAATAAAGCGGATGTTTAGTATGCTATATAAATATTACACTTCGTGGTTCGTCGCTGTACGTTTGACTTTAATCAATCAGTAGTTGATTGAAAAATGATAAAGGTCCACCTCCTTTCTATTTATAGGAAAATCAATAATTTCATTTTTATTACGTATTTAAGCAGCTGTATGGAACGGGGTGCTTAATTGCATTGATTGTGTTCAGTGATAATCAGCTGTGAAACAATTCACCGTATTTATGCATTGGCCTATTTCCAATGGCCTGGTATACATGTATTGTGGCAAATAAATAAATCTAGTGAGGGTTGTCACATAATATAAAGCAAGTGTTCCGCAATTTCAATATACAAATAGCTTTGATTGAAAGTGATAATGCAAGCTTGGCACTTCACAGTATAAAATATTGACAGTAACGCAGTGCAAAAATTGTATAGTTTAGATTCTGCACAGTACAATGCTACCTTCCATTGTAGAAACAGCTGTTGCATTGTCTGATAGTTAACCAACAGAGGTTGACGGAAAAGGGTAAACACAGCAGTATTTATCTCTGCAGGAACATGAACGCTCTGTGACTGAAGCCGTCAATGCACAATGTGCACCAGCCCGAGATATACCAATCCAGATTCGTAATCAGAACCGTGTTCGTGTTTTTTAACGAAACCGTGACCACACCTTCGACCACCACTTCCGGTTGCCTCTGTCAACCAAACGCGAATAACACCGACGCGTGATTGAACGGGGAGAAACTTTACCAAAAGTGATTTTCGTGAACGAGAGCTGTAGGTGGAAAGAGACCATGGGGAAACCGCTGGAAGGAACGATAGAAAAAGTGTATTTGCACATTCCAATCTTGAAATTTGCAGTGGTTACCGTCTCGCTGCCAGCTTTTGCCCTCCTTTTCTGTTTCGTGACAGCATATCTGTTCCGCTTCGACGATGTCAACGACACACAGTGTAATGTAAGTAATGGCTATTTGAGGAAATTTTATTCATTTCCTGTTTACACATTATTCACACTTTCTTGTAAACAAACATCAAAGTTAACAAGTTAACATGCTGTGATTTTGGAAATGTAAAACTTCAACTTATTATTAATTCGAACCCTACTTTTGCATAAACATGATTAGGCTAAATTGATAATTCTTTAAAATGTTTTTGAAACATATTCATGTTATTTCATGAGAGAACAGTCTGATGTATTCTGTGGCGAAGCTTTGTTAGGCTAAAAGCATTTAACCAAAACTGACGTGATTGAGAGTTTTAGTTCAGGCATTAGGATTAGACCAGCTGCCTAGTAATTGTTTCTGACGTAGGTAATGGATCAAGTTCTGTGTTCAGTGTTTGATTAATAATTTATCAGTAATCATGGTAATTGGACCACATTGTTGTCAAGGTGAAATTCTCTGTCAGATAATGCTATAAACTTAAATAACCCTTATGTTATTGTATGCTGCCACATTAACAAGTTCATCACAGTTTTCTTGACTGATAGTTTAATGTTATGGATAATTTCATGATATGCTGTCTATTTGTTTTCGTATGTAACCATGTGAGGGAAGATGGATGTTGAAACTTCAGATTTTGTAGATTCTAAGAAACCAATGAAATACCCACGTTTTCTTCAAAGTATTTTATATCTGTACAATGAATGTAGTCAGTCCAAACCATCCATTTTTCTTACATGTGAGAGAATAATGTTATCACACTGATGTGAATTTTGTTAGGCTTATCATTTTTTATTTTGCTTGCTTTACAGAACTCCATATATCCACAATCTCTCAACTATTAATAGAATATAGACATAAAGAGGAGCAAGATTCTTGTAATATATATATCAATTATTTCCAAAGTATAGATAGGGGTTGGAAGGTATGTCATTCAAACTGGCAGGCACATTTCATACTACTGAGATCATTTGAATATATGTTTCAAAAGTTGTTTGTCCATGTATTTTTCCATTTGGACCAAAGTGACCAATGCTATCATGCTTTTGAAAAGAAACTATATCCCTTACATCCCTGAATCTTTAGGTAAGCATAAAAAAAAAAATAAAAATAAACAATAAAAAGGATGTCTAGTATTCAAGTAAAAACTTGTGAACATCCAAACATGCTGTTTAAGCAGACTGAGAAATACAAATAAGAGCAAGCTATCCATCCACCTGTTGTCCAGTCTTGCATAATATGTAACCAAATCATCAGTTGGTGGGCCCTTGATTGTGTAGATGTTAATTGCCAATAGAGTTAATTGCTATTGTCTTAATTAGCTTGATTATGGCCAGTATTGATCGTGTACATTGTTCCAGATCCTGGATTAAGCAGAGCCTGTGTCAGTGCCTCAGAAATGACTCAGTATTATAACATATCAAAGCACTTATGTTGCATTTCTTTGGGATTTCGCAGTCTACAGAATTCCCATAATGTAAAAATGTTACATGTGTCAGATCAGGAATCACTCACGAAAATGTCACGTATTTGAAAGTTTAATATATGGATCAATCCATTCAGAAATGGTTTGACAAGTTGACACATTGATTAATAATACTATATACTTAGACAATCAACAAAATGTCATTCACAGTATTTCCAGTTGCGTTTACATATAAATGATTGACTTGGGGAATTTGTTTTGTAAGATGTTAATTGTGTAATCAATTTGTATAAATTTCCTTACCAAAGGTGTTTGATGAATATTTTGTAATTCAGTTGTTGAAAAAACTAATTATCTGCAAAAGACTGTTACCTACCTTAAAAAATTCTTCAAAGGATTAAGGCAAATGTATAGTTGTTTCCGTTTTATGTTTCAATACAGTGTTATCAAATACATTGTATAAAAAAAAAGGATAAGGATAAGTAAATTAAAGCCTTCCACAATCCCCACATGGGCACAATGTGTGAAGCTTTCAGTTATCCAATGATATGTGGGTTTTAATGGCCTATCCAGGGATTTATCAGGGATTTCAAACCAAGTTCCTTACGTAAAAAGTTGTTTAGTGTCAATTGCTCAGTGAAATACCAGTTGCCTGTACATAAATATGTTATTAAAGTATTAATGAGTAACATGAATAGGGAAATTGGTGATTCCAATTTTGGAATATAGACTGACATTTGCTGCAGAATAAAGGCTAGATATTGGCTTCATGGGTAATCTACTTAACATGGATGCAGCTATTTTTTTAGTGGGTAAGACCATGTTCTTTGTTCCTGTGGAGTATTACAAAACTTTGAATCTACTTGAATGTTCTTGGTTCTTGACAGTATTTTCAGTAGATTTTCATGTGATTGGAATCCCAGTTTTTGACTGAGATTACGAGTACTATGCCATACTAATCAGAATGTTGCTTGACCCAAGCTTTGGACTTTTGGCTAGGTTTGGAGAATGGTATTTGGAATTACATGCTAACAAAAATGGAATAAGCTTCTCATTCTCATTGCCTTACATTTGGAAATGGGGATAATATTGATTTGGTGCCTGTATGAGAACAATTGGATCATTTGCAAAAATACTTGCATCAATATTACACACACAGATACATTTACATACAATAGTACAATCAATATCGATGCAGAGTGAAATCAATCAATGCCTATGGCATGGTCACAGGCTATCCATACTACTGAAAGCATTGTGCTCACGCAAAGGTATTGACTCATATTTTGTGGAACTCTCATAAAGCGCTGACACTAATGGTTTTTCAATTATTTATTTGTTGACGAGATTAACTATGGTTGTTGTGATGCAAGAGTTGTCTTCTCTTGCTAGATCCTTTTCATAGTGATATCAGTTATAGTTATGGCAAACAAATGTTTAGACTTGTTTATCAGCAACAGTCAGACATATTTGTTTTGTCCACTGTATTACAATGTCACTTTTATCATTATCAACAGACCTGGCAAGTCATTTATGCTTCCTGCTTGCTAATGGTTAAAATATTCGTTGATCATGCTGAAGGCCATATTTCGAGTCGCCACATGGGTACAATGTGTGAAGCCCATTTCTGGTGTTCTCCGGGGTGATATTGCTGTATTATGGCTATAAGCAGCGTAAACGCCAACTCACTCACTCACTCCTGCTTACAAATGATACATATGTTTAGTTCTCATGAAATAGTCATTAAAATACTACTAGCGTACTAACTAAACAATTATTTCAAATCAAAATAAACTGGTAATCATGATAACATATATAGGGTCCATGGAGTTTCATTGTAATGTATTGCAAAACAGCTATCTGTATTGTCTTACATATTGAATATATTGGGAGATAAAGTGATTGACATTGATTGTACATGCACACCCTATTTTCTACACACTGAAGTAAATATTACTGGGCATGGTCAGTCATTTTGTTGTCATGGATACAGGGGAAGTAACACCATGAGAGGAATATCACTTCTGTGTTTCTGTTGGTTTGTTATCAGTTTCGAAGGGAAACATCATTTGTGATTGAATTTCTTTGAGGTTTCAGGATAAATGATACAAATAACTATTTTTCATCCAATATGCCAGAAACAGAAAAAAATATTGCAATTCATATTGCAATAAGGGACCCGTGAAGATCTGAGTTATTGGTCTTCAGTAACCCATGCTTGTCGTAAGAGGTGACTAACAGGATTGGGTGGTCAAGCGCACTGACTTGGTTGACACATGTCATCGTATCCCAGTTGCGTAAATTGATGCTCATGCTGTTGATCACTGGATTGTCTGGTTCAGAATCAATTATTTACCGACCACCACCATGATGGAATATTGCTGAGTGCGGTGTTAAGCATCAAACCAACCAACCAACCAAATGTTTGATAAGGCTATTGTGGTATACCAGTAATACCATGCAGTCCTGAAATGGAAATTGTGATCTCATTAATCATCAGATTCATTAGTATATTCTAGGCTTCACAAATCCAATCTGATTATAGATCCTGGTGCCTAGTTATGTACAGCTATATACATTCTAGGTTCAGAGGACAGATGTGTATATGGACAAATGTTTCTGCAATGTTCACCATGCTTGCTGGTTAAAGATACGATGAGTCAGAATTCTTGCCTGAGTTCAGCAGGGCCTGATCAATTTTTCGTGTGCAGTATAACCTGGTTTACTGAAAGTGGAACCCAGTGTAGTTAACACGATATTTGATTGAAGACCATGCACCTATATTCACACTCCTTATTGACATTGTTAGTTTATGTTGTTTGAGACAGACGTCAGCATATTCCAGCTGTGTCACGCTGGCCTGTTAGTAATCAAGTCTAGGCTTAACCATGTTAACCAGATCAGTTGTTGATGATGCAACCTCCTCCAAATACTTATGTGATGACAAGCCTGAACTTGCTTATTAGCATCAGTAGAATTTACTGCTTCTGTATTTACTATACTATTGTAAGTTAAGCTTGTTAAACAAACAGAATTCCGGCTTGGGACTAAAGCTGCAGTTTTGTGGTGCAATGTCTCCAACAGAAAGTAGCAGTCAACTAAAAGCACATATTCTCAGTTCCCTCTTATGACAAGCATGTTACCTATTCTGTCCTACAGGGCTTATCATATGATGGCATTTTTGTTTGTCTTTGACTACAGTTTTACCTATATTTAAGTACCACGGACGCTTAGAGTGAGTTTAGTTTTATGCCACACTCAGCAATATTCCAGCTATATTAGTATATGGAGGCGGTCTGTAAATAATCGAGTCTGGACCAGACAATTCAGTGACAACAGCATGAGCATTGATCTGCGCAATTGAGAACCAATGACATGTGTCAACCAATTCAGCGAGCCTGACCACCCGATCCCATTAGTCGACTCTTACGACGAGCATGGTTTACTGAAGACCAGTGTTCTAACCCGGACCTTCACGGGTAACAGACGCTTAGACATTGTGACAAAAAATAATTGCTTATGAAAAAGATAGAAATTAAATTTATTATCTGAGATTGCGTGGAGAGTGAACAAAATTAAATCAAATGTC